CAGTCACCAACAGAAGAGCCCAGCCTCCCTTGGACGCCATGTCAAACGAAGACTCAACAGGTAAGGCAAACGAATTGAGGGTAAGATGTCGGTGGTCCGCCTCACACATAACCGATTTAATGACAGTCTCCAAGCGGTCAAGAGAACAGCCACCCACGTTCTCGAACAGGTACACGGACCTTCAGAGAGACCCGGCAGGTAAGGCAAACAAATTGCAAGTTGGGTCTGGGTAGTTGACCTGACACGCAACCTATCCAACAATAGTCTCCAAGTTGTCGAGAGACCAGCCGTTCTCGGTCTTGGTCTCTAACTCCTTCCCCAAGAAAGACACGGCAGGTAAGGCATACACATTGCAAGTAGGCCAACCCTGCTCGTAACCCTACTCGTTACAGTCTCCAGGTGATGGAGAGACCAGCCACCCTCGTTCTCGAACGGTTGCACCGATTTTGAGAGAGACACAACAGGTAAGGCAAACAAATTGTAAGTCAGGTCTGGGTAGTCGACCTGACACACAACCTATCCAACAATAGTCTCCAAGAGGTCGAAAGACCAGCCACCCTCGGTCTTGGACGGCCACACCGACCCCAAGAAAGACTCCGCAGGTAAGGCAAACGGATTGACAGCCAGGTCTGGGTAGTCGACCTGACACGCAACCTATCCAACGATAGTCTCCAAGCGGTCGAGAGACCAGCCACCTTCGGTCTTGGACGGTCACACCGATTCCAAGAGAGACACGACAAGTAAGGCAAATACATTCCAAGTCAGGTCTAGATAGCCGACCTGACACATAACCCATCCAACGATAGTCCACAAGTGGTGGAGAGATCAGCCACCTTCGGTTGTGGACTGTAACACCGTCCCCGAATAAGACACGACAGGTAAGGCATACACATTGCGAGTAGGCCAACCCCGCTCGTAACCCCACTCATAACAGTATCCAGGCAATGGAGAGATCAGCCACCCTCGATCTCGGACAGTTGCACCGACTTTGAGAGAGACAGGACAGGTAAGGCAAGCACATTGTGAGTCAGGTCTGGGTAGTCGACCTGACGCGCAACCCATCCAACGATAGTCTCCAAGCGGTCGAGAGACCAGCCACCCTCGGTCTCGGACAGTCACACCAACCCCAAGAAAGACTCCACAGGTAAGGCAAACGGATTGACAGCCAGGTCTGGGTAGTCGACCTGACACACAACCTATCCAACAATAGTCTCCAAGAGGTCGAAAGACCAGCCACCCTCGGTCTTAGACGGTCACACCGACCCCAAGAAAGACTCCACAGGTAAGGCAAACGGATTGACAGCCAGGTCTGGAGAGTCGACCTGACGCGCAACGTATCCAACGATAGTCTCCAAGCGGTCGAGAGACCAGCCACCTTCGGTCTTGGACGGTCACACCGATTCCAAGAGAGACTCGACAGGTAAGGCAAACGGATTGAGAGCCAGGTCTGGAGAGTCGACCTGACCTGTAACCCATCCAACAATAGTCTCCAAGTGGTCGAGAGACCAGCCACCCTTGGTCTTGGAGACTAACTCCGTCTTCGAGAGAGACACGACAGGTAAGGCAAATACATTCCAAGTCAGGTCTAGATAGCCGACCTGACACATAACCCATCTAACGATAGTCCACAAGTGGTGGAGAGACCAGCCACCTTCGGTCGTGGACTGTAACACCGTCCCCGAAAAAGACACGACAGGTAAGGCATACACATTGCGAGTAGGCCAACCCCGCTCGTAACCCCACTCATGACAGTCTCCAGGCGATAGAGAGATCAGCCACCCTCGATCTCGGACAGTTGCACCGACTTTGAGAGAGACAGGACAGGTAAGGCAAGCACATTGTGAGTCAGGTCTGGGTAGTCGACCTGACGCGCAACCCATCCAACGATAGTCTCCAAGCGGTCGAGAGACCAGCCACCCTCGGTCTCGGACAGTCACACCAACCCCAAGAGAGACTCGACAGGTAAGGCAAAGGGATTGAGAGCCAGCTCTGGAGAGTCGACCTGACATGTAACCTATCCAACAATAGTCTCCAAGTGGTCGAGAGACCAGCCACCCTTGGTCTTGGAGACTAACTCCGTCTTCGAGAGAGACACGACAGGTAAGGCAAATGCATTCCAAGTCAGGTCTAGATAGCCGACCTGACACATAACCCATCCAACGATAGTCCACAAGTGGTGGAGAGACCAGCCACCTTCGGTCGTGGACTGTAACACTGTCCCCGAAAAAGACACAACAGGTAAGGCATACACATTGCGAGTAGGCCAACCCCGCTCGTAACCCCACTCATGACAGTCTCCAGGCGATGGAGAGATCAGGCACCCTCGATCTCGGACAGTTGCACCGACTTTGAGAGAGACAGGACAGGTAAGGCAAGCACATTGTGAGTCAGGTCTGGGTAGTCGACCTGACGCGCAACCCATCCAACGATAGTCTCCAAGCGGTCGAGAGACCAGCCACCCTCGGTCTCGGACAGTCACACCAACCCCAAGAGAGACTCGACAGGTAAGGCAAAGGGATTGAGAGCCAGCTCTGGAGAGTCGACCTGACATGTAACCTATCCAACCATAGTCTCCAAGTGGTCGAGAGACCAGCCACCCTTGGTCTTGGAGACTAACTCCGTCTTCGAGAGAGACACGACAGGTAAGGCAAATACATTCCAAGTCGGGTCTAGATAGCCGACCTGACACATAACCCATCCAACGATAGTCCACAAGTGGTGGAGAGACCAGCCACCTTCGGTCGTGGACTGTAACACTGTCCCCGAAAAAGACACAACAGGTAAGGCATACACATTGCGAGTAGGCCAACCCCGCTCGTAACCCCACTCATGACAGTCTCCAGGCGATGGAGAGATCAGCCACCCTCGATCTCGGACAGTTGCACCGACTTTGAGAGAGACAGGACAGGTAAGGCAAGCACATTGTGAGTCAGGTCTGGGTAGTCGACCTGACGCGCAACCCATCCAACGATAGTCTCCAAGCGGTCGAGAGACCAGCCACCCTCGGTCTCGGACAGTCACACCAACCCCAAGAGAGACTCGACAGGTAAGGCAAAGGGATTGAGAGCCAGCTCTGGAGAGTCGACCTGACATGTAACCTATCCAACCATAGTCTCCAAGTGGTCGAGAGACCAGCCACCCTTGGTCTTGGAGACTAACTCCGTCTTCGAGAGAGACACGACAGGTAAGGCAAATACATTCCAAGTCGGGTCTAGATAGCCGACCTGACACATAACCCATCCAACGATAGTCCACAAGTGGTGGAGAGACCAGCCACCTTCGGTCGTGGACTGTATCACCGTCCCCGAAAAAGGCACAACAGGTAAGACACGACAGGTACGTTGCGAGTAGGTCAACCTCGCTCGTAACCCATCTCATGATAGTCTCCAGGTGTTGGAGACATGAACTACCCACGGTCTCGGACAGTAACACCGTCCGCGAGAATAACGCCGCAGGTAATGTAGAAAATATATCAGCTGCGACCTTAAAAGTAGACCCTTGAAGCAGCCTAAAAGCAATGTTGGTTTCTTTCAATTCCAGGGGGACATGCTGTTTCGAAGAGCAACTGGGGAGGTAATAGAAAAATTTCTGGCTCTTAATTTAAAAGAGTGAATAGGACTGATTCACTTAATCTGTCATACAATAGTTCACAGACGGCGATCCTGGCCCCTCACACTCTTCAACGAAGACAACATACCAAAAGGAGACTTTGAAGGTACGGCAGAAATTGCTAATACATGTGTTTGAAACAGAAGTGCATTTCGCACAGCTGGAAATTAAATATAATTAGGAAACTGTGCATTATAAAATTTAGGTAAAACATTTTGTTTGACTTGTATTGACGTGTACATTTCGTTCTAAATAGGGTACCCCTCTCCCATCAAGATCAATGAAGCGCACTCGCCGAAAGAAAGATCAAGAGGTGCGGTGTAGAGATGCTGATATTAGATTATTATATTTAAACATGAATTCACCATGCAGGTTTTTGTGTCATCTGATGAGGAGCAAAGCATGCCAGGACGGCGAACCTGGAGGCTTTCTCAAGCTGCTGAACAGGTGAGGCTAGAAGAACACTTTTCCGTGTGATCGTCCGTCTAAACAAGAGTGTCAAGTGTGTTTTCTGACTGTTACCCTATTAATGTGTAATGTTTGTAGGCTAGCATTTGGGTGAATGAGAATGACTGTTGCGTGAAGCCTGAGTGACTGAGTAAAGCCTCGCCCCCCTTCCGCCCGATCATTGGTGTCCGGGTACCCCCCTGGCCTCCTCCCCCCAAGACATTCACCATACCCTCCTCCCCCAAGTGCCCCCCTCTCCCAATCTTTTGTGTCTGGGCACCCCCACCCCCCCCCTCCCAAGGGCGTTCACCACACCCTTCCCTCCCCAGGGCACCCCCCAGCTCAGGATCCCCCACTATTTTTCGTGTTCGGGTACCCCCCTCTCAAGCCATTTGCCACTACCCCTAACCCCCACCCCCCCTCCCAGGACCTCTCGTGTCCAGGTAACCCGTCTCCCACAATCTTTTATGTCCGTGAATCTCCCCCCCCCCCCCCACCGTCCTCTGGAACATTCCTCCGGGTATTAACAATGTTAGACGTAACAATACAAGTGCTTTGCACTTTGCCATACATTTTTTGGACGTTTTTGTTTCAGGACGAAGGCAGCTCTTCATGCTCTCCAGGAAACGAAGGAATTGCAACTCTGCAATACTCAGATGATGAGGCTCCAAGGAAAAGACGTTGCTCTGTAAGTGAATAAATATAGTATAGGAAGTAAACCATAAAACCAAGTTTCTGTTTTCTCACAGGATAGAACACCTGCAAGTATCAGGAGTGAATCAGTCAAGACTGACCACACCTATGGGAGTCTCGGAACTCCAAGAAGTACAATCAACACCGCAAGAATTAGACTAACAGCAGCAAAACGGAGGCTGGACGCTGCCAGAAAAAAGGTAAAAAGAAGCTGCGCGAAAGTTATAAAACTCCAGAGCTTAATATCTGACATGAAGAACAAGCACCTCCTCACGGAGGATGCTGAGAAGGACCTGGAGTCTTTTGGAGAACTCCCAGAAGAGCTGCTGAAATCGTGGAACTCAAATCAGCAGAGGCAGGTCTCCGGAAGGCGGTATGGACAGAAAATGCGTAAATTCGCAGTAACTCTGTATTTCCACTCCCCCAGAGCTTATGCCTACGTCGCGGGAATTTTTCCCATGCCAACTGTCAAGACGCTTCGCTCCTGGTTGAAGGTTGTCGATGCATGGCCAGGGTTCCCAAACGAGTCATTTGAACACCTAAAGACGACCCTCCGTGGCAAGCCCCAGCGGGAGAGGCTCTGCAGTGTTATGATGGACGGGATGAGCATCAGGAAAAAGTCTGACATCGACATAAAGAGTGGGCGCTTAACTGGATTTGGGCGCTCCCAAAGCGCACTTGAAACAGACAATGCACCCCTTGCAGGCGATGCCCTTGTTCTGATGGCTGTTGGGCTGGTGGCAGCCTGGAAGATACCAATCGGTTATTTTCTCAACAATGGACTGACTGGGAGCATCCTAAAAACCATAATAGTGGAAGCAATAACAATGCTCGAAGAGTGTGACCTAGAAGTAGTTGCAGTTGTGTGTGATGGCCTAGCATCTAACGTCATGATGGGCAAGCTGCTAGGCTGTCGCATTCATGAGGACAGTGCCGAAAACTTCAAGACCTCATTTCCACACCCAAAAGCAGCTGATCGTGAAATTTCACTTATATTTGACGCAGCACATGGCCTAAAGCTCTTGCGCAACTTGTTTGGCGACAAGAAGACACTGGAGAGTGCAGATATGGGGTAAGGAAGTAGGTGGATCAATGAAGCACATGTGTATATTAAATGAACATGAAACATTACAGGCTGTACACTGGAGGTTCATTGAGCAACTTCAGGAGCTCCAGCAGACAGACGGCATCCGACTGGGCAACAAGCTCCGGAGAGCTCATGTGGAGTACTACCGCCAAATAATGAAGGTTCGATTAGCAGCGCAGACCTTCAGCTCGTCAGTCAGCCAGAGCATTGACATCGCTCGACGGCTGGACCTGAAAGACTTTAAAGGAAGCGAGGGCACTTCAGAGTTCATTGAAGATGTGAATCAGTAAGTGCTAGGAACCACCATATAAGTATTTAACTAAAATGAACACACATCTTTCCAGAGCATTTGACCTACTGAACTCCCACAGCAATACGTCTAAGGGGCCCAAGGCATCACTTTGCAAGGACACTTTTGGAGAACAGCGGCAAAAGATGCTGTCCCTTTCATCCCGCTTGATGTCCCTAAGGCTTCCAGCAGGAAGGCTTGTCGCCCAGGATGGAAGACGGATGTCCATCATCAGCCTTGCCTTCACCCTAAAGAGCGTTGCGGACTTAGCGAAGAGACTCTTTGAAGGAGACAAGTGCAGGTAATTTTGAAAATTCAACGAGCATAAATATCGTGGTTGCCCTAAAAAGTTTGCAACTTCGAAACTTTTCATTCAGTAACTGCTTATGTTCTTCCTTCTGAAACATAAGTTGTAACAAAACATGTTCCCTCTCTCAGGTACATCGGCACATATCGCCTGAGCCAGGACCACCTGGAGCTGTTTTTCAGCTGCGTCCGGCAACGAGGTGGCTGGAATAACAACCCTTCAGCCGCCCAGTTCCGCTATGCGTACCGCAGCTTGCTTGTTAATGCTGACGTTCAAGTTCCAGCGACTGCTAATGTCACCCCAGACATGGAGGGAATCTCCACCCTGCGGCATCAGGGAACGACGAGGACGACGGAGGAGGATGCGGAACCTGGAAGTTCTAATCCCCTGGAATTAGTTATTCCAGACCATGACTATGGGGTACCTTATGGCCTATCAAAGTTCAGTGCCGAGGCAGTGAAGTTTATCGGAGCATCTGTGATAAAAGTAGTGGCAAGACGAATCACATGCTCAATGTGCTTGGACCTTTTGATGCAAAATGATGCAACAAACGTGGTGATCTATCTTAAAGAAGACCTCATTATGCCATCTACTTTTGTGAATCACCTAGTCAATTGTGCGGAGTTTGTATTCCGACTAGATGTCAATGTTCCACAGAAGGTAAGCGTTCAGCATCTCACTCTGAAGGCATTTCAGTATTTCACCGATAAACATGAGACGAGCCTTTTAGACATGCCGCACTTCAGAAATGACCCAGAGCATGTCATTGCCCTCATAAAGGTGATCTTGAGGGAGGATGCTGTGATGCGTTTAAGTGACTTGACCAGGCGAATCAGTGAGCAGACCAGAGGACCCTACATAAGGTCGCTTTTGACGAAACAAATCTTGTTCAGGAACCAGTAGACCCAGTTAACATGTATATATGTTGCAAATGTGCTGTATATATGTGTACGCTGTAAAGAATGCATATATCTTGTGAATACACTCTGAATAGGTACACGTGTTGCAAATGTGCTGTAGATATCTATTTTTTATAAATATGTGAATATGCATGTATATATCTATATACCAGAGATGATCTAAACATGTATTAAATTTGTTATAAGCTGCCTGAATGCCAACATTTTTATGCACAACTTTGCTACACTGCTGAAAAGCTAGTAACAGGGGTGTATTTACAAAAAAAAAAAAGAAATTGAAACTCTGGCGACATCAAAAACTAAGCTTGACAGCAATTTCTCCCACTTCGCAGACTGTGCTCACATCCGAGAGTTGAGAACATTGTAGAGGTTCCATGCCCCGAGCAAACTTTCTGTCCATGATAGCACAAGCGCGCACATTTAGCCAAAGCACGCTCCATTGACCTCATTACAAAAGCAAGGCGAAACGCTTGTAGGTCCCGGCCTCAGTACACATTGGACATTTTCCACTTTGACACCGGATAACTGGAGAACGAGGATTTACATTTACTTCAAACGTCACTCTCGCCACTTCCTCATCGTCGAGCAGCCGGATCAGCTGGCGACAAGCCGCGGATGCAAGCCTTGAACATCAACAGCTCAAGGGCACTCGGTGCCGATGCGGGCAATGCGGGTTTCTGTCAACTGGTAGCCCAGCACAAACCCTGAACGTGCCAGCTCTTTGTCATGGCACGGTGTGCAGAGAGCAGGGTGAAATACAGCTACACGGACCACCGAAGCAAACGCACTGTTATCGTAAATCTTGTGATTGCACCTTTGTAGATTATCTTATTCGTTTTGCTGGAGAGATGCAAAGGATGGGCATAACAAAATTGTTTGCATATTCTGCATACCCCGCAAAAGAACTTACCCAGTAGCCTTGCGAAATCCGCAAAACATGGAATCTGCACCGTCCTGACTTCCCAGTATTTTGTACCTGCTATACTCTGTTTCATCTTATAATGTACCGCAGGAAAAGCTACAAGCGCGAGCTCCTTGCTCAGGGCACATCTTGGCGGCACAAGCTCTCGTGCGTTAAGAGTAGCTTCCAACGCTATGAGCTCGCGCTTCTAGCCTTCTCTGCGGTACAACATAAGGTGAAATGGAGTATAGTAGTATGTCCACTGAAACTGCAACTTGAAACTGGGGGCAATGCCAGAGAGGAAAGAGAAAGTTAAGAAAGCTTGCTCGCTCTCCTCAATTTCTTAACTCTCAAGTGATTGTACCATAATAAATTCAATAAACACCTCTTCCCAAAATAAAGAAAAAGCACTCGCTATGTTCACTACGTAAAAACATAATCTCAGTTCATGCATCTGTGGGCAGGTAGAAAATGTTGCCCTAATTTATTCACGCCGCATGATGAGCGCAACAAACTCGCACGAGATTTACAGGAAAATATCGGTGGTGACTTAAGTTTCCTTGAAATTCTGTATAATTGGTCGTTTGCAGGACCGAATCATCTACTCGAGCGATGTACATCGCTGTGCAAACGGGTCGCTGTGCAAACGCAGTCCAGCACGAAGCATAAAAACGGCAGATTTAGGACAATAATCCGGAGTCCATAAAACGACATAATTTTGTTGAAAACGCCCGCAGCCTTTTACTCACGGTATGCGTCGGGAATCTTCCACAGTTTGAAACGGAACGAAGGAAGATTTACTTTTAAAAACGCTCCCTGCGTCCTCCCGGACCAGCTGGACCGGATCAGCTGACGACGACGGGACTGTACCCGCTGAACCTCCACCCCGCAACAAACAATTTGCGCTCTGTGTTAAAAGCGCGGTTCAAACAGACCAGGAATACAAAGCACCGCACCACACACCACGAACGTTTCAGCTCTTTGTCGCATCGCCGTGTTGCATTAAACAAAACGAGATCGCCGAAGTCAACGCAGCGCTGTCGTGAACTTTGGCTTGTGGTTCCGCACTCGTGGACCCTGTGACTCCCTTCGCTTTCAAAGCACACACGACGATTACGAATGATACTTTCTGTCTTCCGGGAACATCACAGGGGCACTTCTCCGGTCACGTCTTCGCTCTATGTGCTCGCAAACCACGGAGCTACTAGCGTCCCGTCCGTCCCGTCAAACCAAAACAATACCGACGCCGGGTTGAACGCGCGTTGTTGCTAGAATTTCTCCGACCAAACAAAAACAACGAAAGCAAACCGGCTCTAGCTTCCAGCGTACATCGGCGTTGCGCCGTGGCCAGATTTTCTCCGTCAGCTGTAACTTAAAGATGACCTACAGATGCAGCAACACTGGTATCAAGTTTTAATATGGCGGCCCCCACGGAGCGCCTTAAATTCGGAGGAGGTTGCATGGGAAGCGGCGGCACCTTCCCCCCCCCCCCCCCCCCCCCCTGGAGAAAACAGAGGGGGACACAACCGGTCGCTCATTTGGCTCTCGTTTCCCCACCTGTCTATCTTACACCCTGATCTCGACTTCGTTTTTTGAAAATACGGCCGTCCATTTGAGATATCGCCTTACTAGTAGTGTTGTAGGGGTTGTAGCGTCCCGCCTACATCTGCAGCATTGTTTTTTTGAAATCCAAATTTCGATTCACCATCCCTTTTTAGGCGTCCTCCATGTCTTTTGCAATACCCAATTCCCAATGCACGCGCCCTCTAAAAAAAAAAAAAAAATCCTTACCAAATGCCGTTGCAGCACTACCAATGCCAAGAGCTCGTACCGGGTTACGCGTTTTCACGCGCTCCGGAACAAAAACAAAACAGAAGCGTTCGGAGTAATATGGAACAAAACGAAAGCGTTCAGAACAAAACAGATGTCTATTTTGCACGCACTGCCCGCAGATGCGTGAACGCGACGCCGATGCACAACGACTTCACCGTTGCCCGTCGCAGCTATGGCTGTAAATGTACTGTAAATTAACGCAGGAGTGCAGAATTTTTTTTTTCGGTCGCGGCACTTTACTATGGTTGAAGCCAAATTTCGTTTTTCTAGGCATAGATGTATTCGCATTAACACGGCAGGCTTTGTGTAGATAGATTATCTGTATCTCGGTCTCACGGTGAGGCACTCGATGGGAAGTAAAAATGCTTAAAAGCTTAAGAGGGCGCGGTACCTCTATTTATTCGTCCGTTTCAGCCACCAGATGGCGCGCGGCTCGAAACGTGGTTGAACGCGCAACTTCTAGATGGCGCCAGTATCGAGGTGTGAAAAGGCCCGCGTTATCCGCTGCGTGAAATAGATCCCGAAATCTGCCGTGTTCTCCCGGCGGAGGAAGTTTCTGCATCCCTCGCGCGCGCTTGGTATGTACGCGCGGTGACCGAGTCCGGCCTCTGCGCTGTGTGATGCAGTGGATGGCGCTCGTTTCTGTTCGGAGGTAGGAATAAAAATGCCGGTCCGCTTTTTTACGACGCTCGTTTCTATAGCTTGTTTTTCTTTTCTTTTTTATCTCAAGTGACCTACAGTACCGCCTGTTCGAAATCGTCCTTTGCGGTGAGCGATTGAGAGTCAGGTTAGCATTTTATTTGGGTCAGCACTACATGTTTAATGGAGACCTCGGGCGGCGATGTAAATATGCATTGCTTCCCAAAGTGTGTCCAAGGTGCGCAATGACAATTGGAAAGGGTATTGAAGGCGCGCGACCGTCGGTTGGTAAAATACGTGCGTTAGATTCACTTATTCAGTCTAATCATTTTTGCCAACGTCTTTTATCTGTTTCGACAAATGACATGGTCGAGTTTATTGATAACCTTAGCTAGATTGGACGTACGGAGTGTCCGGGCTTTAAATACATTTGCTTCGTTTATGTGAATGAATAACTGTTTTCTCTTTTCCGTGCTCGGTGCTATGCAAAAATCGCTGAGATGTTATGGTAGCTCAGTGTGGCGGCGTTTTTCACGCTGACTCGCTATTGCATTCGCTGTGCACAATATGTGTTCAGATGGAATGTGCCAAATCGTATTTCCGATCGATATGATAGATTTACTTTGCTACAGTGTTAATTATATTTTCCTGATTTAAACTGGTTCGTCCCTGATCTGAGCCTAAGTTTAAATTCGAAGGGCAGACAGACTTAGCGTCGTAACAGCCGTAATGCGCAGAAAGAAATTAGTACCATGAAAGAAAAACAAAAGGATACGAGGTGGCTCAGTGTTATAGAAGTAATGAGTGTGCAAAGGATGGGATACGGTCCATTCGTCACATGCACACTCGTCACAGGACGATTGGTCACAGGACGATTCGTCACACAGGAACATACGTCATAGGATGACTCGTCACGCGGCCAACCGGTCTCACAATAGTTTGTCCCCCCAAAAATGTATTGTTCAATTTGGTTCGGGCGGACAAAGGCGAAGAATTTGTAAGGAACGTTTTAGCTTCTGATTCGGTCCCGAACATTGAATGTTGGTTGGGCCTCAGAAAGTCGGTCAACTCTTATCTTAGCATGTCTTTCGCTTCTCGAGGTCAAAGAATTTGTAACAGACGTTCTAGCTATCTGGGTCCGTCCTGAACGGTGAATGCGGAGGCCATAGAAGAGCGACTATTTTGGAACTACATTCAAAAGGATGGAGGTGATCGCAACAGAGAGAGCCATGATGCTGCACGAGGGGTACTCGTACACATTCGGCAGAAGGAATTCCGATACTTGTTGGTTTTGTCGAATAGGTGTATGCAAGGCAAAACTAAAAACTAATTTGGCTGCCAGTCGGATTATTGCTCGTTCAAGCCTGCAACTGAGATCAACCTGCTGAAGACCCGTAATATAATGAAAGGAAAAGCGGATGAGTATTGTAATATTAGTTTATATAACCATTGGTTTACGTGACAGTGGAAAATTGTGAAACTCCTCATCAGGGTATGTGGGCAGATGTTGAAATTTACAATTTACTATCGTCCCCTGCTCGATCAATGAGACCAGTTGCCCGCATGACAAGTCATCCTGTGACAAATGTTCCTATGTGACGAATCATCCT